CCAGGCACATATCTATTGACAGTCCACATGTTCACCACATGTGCGAATTGGCCCTGAATCACAAACAAGACTCTGGAGGTATAAACAGGCAAACGTGATGCTGGATGATGAAGGATTCCGATGGAACTTAAAAGGGCAATTCTAAAAAGAACATTACTTCTCGCCCCTATCACTCTCAGTCAAAACTCAATGTGACAAGAGTGTCACAGGGTGAAGCCAGAAAGCCAGGAATTGTGCGTTTGGACGCTCTAAAAATTATGTGCCCAGAGACAGAATTATGTTTAGGCTGATTGACAAAGGGCTAAAATAACAGAGCCAGGCTTTTTGATTGCAGTGGACATCTGCACAGCTTCTGATGCTCAATGGGCACAAATTGAGATCATAGTTGGGTCACACACTGACCAGTTTGTGTAGGCTTTTCTCCAGAAGTTCACAGAGTCTCAAGGACCAAAGAGACATGACATATCACCCAATAAGACATTAAACTGGTTTTGAGTGCAGGACACCTAGCATAAAAAGCCAAAAAAGGTACGATGAAAAAAAGAAGGGGAAAAAAAAATGTGAGCAGCCCCCTTCATAGATGCCCATGTTAGCAGATGGTCAAAGTGTTCCTTTGTTGAACTATGGTATTTGACTGGCAGTGTACATAAGAAACATTCCTGAACATGGGGTTTAAGTTATCACAATATTCTGGGATTTTCGGGTAACGAAAGTTATGAACGGCACAAAACCAAACAACAGATACCTTCAGCACATACCCTAATACTGAGCTACGCAGCCCATACTGCCAAAAGAACGTGCAGACCAACCTCTGCAAGGCTTCCAGACTCACAAAGTCACAGATCCAGAATTAGTTCTATTGTTCTTTAAAAGTATGATTATCTATATATCTAATTCCCAACTTGCCCCCGGAGTGCGGATCGCTAAATCAGCGCTCCGGGGGCAGCTGGGGGGGCGGGGGAGGTTTGTGTACACGTGGGCCAGTCCCCACATGTGCACAAAAATACAAAAAGTTGGAAAAAAAAATTCGGGGGGATTTTAAACCCCCCCGAAAGTGCAAGACCGTTCTGTGCGCACGCGCACAGAACGCTCTGCTGCCGGCCTCGCCGCCGCCGCTTCGGAGCCGGCGGTCTGGCCGGCCAGGCAGCCAGCCGGAGCCCAGCGAGGCCCGGGCGGCTACAAGCTGCCGGGCATCGCTTCAGAGGGGAGTGGTCTGGCCGGCCAGCCAGCCAGCCGGAGCCCAGCGAGGCCCCGGCAGCTACAAGCTGCCGGGCCTCGCTTCGGAGGGGAGGGGAGGGGGAAGAGACGAGCGGCCCAGCGGCAGGAGCCGCCGGGGCTCGCTTCGGAGGACAGGGGGAGGAGGGGGGGAGAGATGAGCGAGGCCCGACGGCTCGCTTAGGAGGGGAGGGGGAGAGAGACGAGGGAGGCCTACGGAGGGGAGGGGAGGGGGGAAGAGAAAAAGTGGAGACCCAACAGTACGCAACATTTTGTTGCGGGTCTCCACTTGTTCTCTTATAACAGTAACAATAGCAATCAAATAATTTGTGCGACACGTTAATAATGTACGCAATAACAATCAAATAATTCGTGCAAACTCTTCAGCAGAGCCTTTTAAAATGTAGTAAGTAGGGAACCATGCTGCCCTATACAACCCTACAGCCCCACCCCCTGAACACTTTGGCTTCCCAAAGCAATAAAATTAAAAATAATAGAAGTAAAGACATTTAATTGTATCAATCAGTTTACTGTTTTTACTCATGGATGTCATTGATCTACTTTGCATTATAAAATACTAGAAATAAGGCCCGTTGTGGAAATAAATACAACGGGATCTAGAAAGAGGCTCTGGGAGAGTGCTCTGGCTTTGGGCAAACAGTGTCAGTCTGCTTTTAAAACATGAATCTGGGACCTGCACACCACCAGAATACAGCAGGTTCCATATGCAACTGACATTCCAACTGCCTTGCGGGGGGGGGGGAGTTTGAGGTGTGGAATGGAGTGAAGTCCAATCAGCTTCCATATGCAAAAGACCAGGTTGTCGCAGCAGTTGTGGTGTGGGCGGGACCCGGGCTTTGCCTTCTGATTGGTGGCGATATATGCTGAGGAGCAGTGCCATCAGCCATACACTAAGGGAGCGCATTTTAGAATTAGAACTTTGGCACCCACTATTCAATTATATATAAGGAGAGATAGCCAGTAAATGTGGATCATTTACTGTATGTATTTAGTTACCTATAATTAATTTGTCTTTAACTGTAGTGCAGGCATGGTTTAGGATTGCACTGTTAATCTCCTTTTTGTCCTTCTTCAAGGAAATAGGTTGGCTACAGTTAAAGAGATTTAATTTCAAAAGAGATGGGGGGATTTCACTTATTATATGATAATGCTTTTTGTAAAGAAATAAAATTGAACTCACTTTCAACCCTCCATGGCCCTATTTTGGTATGAATGGAAAAGGGTATTATACCCAGGGGTTTCTCCATTGACCCCAATTTTATACCATCCAAAGTTTGTTCCAGCAAAAAAAATAAAAAAAAATTATGGTTCCAGGTACAGAGATTTCTTTTGTTAATCAACTAACATTAATGGACACAAATATTATGCTCTTAAATAACAGTAGTCAACTCTGGACTGAAGAAAGGATTCCTGAAGGGAATAAACGGCTGTTGAAACATCAGATTTTAAGTTTTCTCCAAAAGAAGGAAATTAAAGATCAAATAAACAGACCATTTAACTGAATTTGAAGAATTAATTCAAAATATAGATAAGGAAGAGGGGAAATTAATTATTAAAATATAAGATATCATTAAATCAGGGACAAACTCCAGTGCAGACAATTAAAAAGAATTGGGGAATAGAACTGAATACTAAATTTAATTATAACGTCTGGGAACAAATATTTAAGTGCTTTCCTTTCAACTCAATCTCAAGAGGCTTACAAAAGCATCCATTAAAGGTGTCTCAAAGGTGGTATTTCACTCCCGTTAGGCTAGCCCACTTAATGAAAATAGATATTAAAAATTGTTGGAGAGGTTGTGGTAAACTAGAGACATGTATTCATATGTGGTTGTCTTGTCCAGTTATAGCAGATTTTTGGAAATCCATATTAGTAGAGATTACTAAATAACCTGTGAACAAATAAAACTTACTATTGAACCAGTCCCGCTCAACTTATTTATGAAGGAAAATTTCCAGTGTAAACAAAAACCCCCCCACCATATCAACTTTCTTTTAGCTGCAGCTAGAATGCTTATTCCTCAATGCTGGAAGAATGCTAAAGGGATTTCCTTGGATAGGTGGTATAAGGAATATAGCAGCACTTGAAAAATTAACCCGATCCAATCCAATCCAATTACCTTTATTGGCATGTAGAAAAATTAACACATAGGATTCGATTAATTTGGGGGAGGAAAAAAGAAAGACGATTTTAAGATAATTTGGAATAGTTTAATAATTTATTTAATGGAATTTCTAGATTATAGCTCATTAAATAATTTTTTGAATGGATGGGGACTCTTACCTAAACATTTGAATAAGACATTGAATAGTTATATCAGAGGGCACTATTTCTCAGAAACAGAATAAATGAATATTATGTAAAATCTCGGTCAACTTGGATAGAAGCACCTCCCCCTTTCCTCATTTTTATCTATTCATTATTTTTCGCATATAGGTTTATATATTTTCTTTGGGTTTTTTGTGGTTTTTTTTTTGTTTGAAACATCACCATAACATGATTGTATCATCTCCTATATTGGATATGAGGTTATCACATGATTTTATTATGTTTGGGTTTTTTGTTGGCATTTGTTCTGTGTATGTAAATAAAATATTTCTAAAAGAATATTAGCAAAGCTAAACTGCTTCTGTGGTCACAACGGCATGAGATTTATGAGTAGCTTCAGAACAGGATTGCAGTTTCAAATACTTGGGAATTCAAATCAATGAGTATTTAATCAGTGCTCACAAATCTGCTGTAAAACTATTATCTCTTCTCTGGATCAGTGCTTTAGGAATATATGTCACAGGTCAGTAAATGGAAGCTGCCACAATTGAAATGTTCATAGGCAAAATTATTGCCTAAATCATATAAGAAGCAAAAATAGTGGTCTGAATCATTTAAGCCCCCCTTGAGGAGCTGCGGTGGCTCAAGTGGTTAAGACGCTGAACTGCAGGCTGTGGAAGGTCAGTAGTTCAGCAGTTCAAGACCCAAGTTGCCGCATGACGGAGTGAGCTCCCATCTCTAGTTCCAGCTCCTGCCAACCTAGCAGTTCGAAAGCAAGAAATTGCAAGTAGATAAATAGGTACCACTTTGGTGGGAAGGTAACAGCGTTCCGTGCGCCTTGGTGTTTAGTCATGCCGGCCACATGACCACGGAAACGTCTTCGGACAGCACTGGCTCTTCGGCTTTGAAACGGAGATGAGCACCGCAACCCTAGAGTCAGATTCGACTGGCTTTCGAGCAAGGGAACCTTTACCTTTACCTGAGAGAACTCAAAATTAGGTTCTAAGAGCACTGTTTTGTTTACGTTGTGGTACAGGTTGTATCCTTCTCTAAAGGTTAGAGGTCATACACAATGAGGAAATTAACAAAACCAATATCTGAATAGCATTTCATGAAAGAGTTAAAAATCAAGCAACTGGGCTAAGCCATGTGAAAGGCCATGTATCTGGGATATGAGCTGTCTGTGGATATAAGGATATCCCAGAGGAGATCAGGGCCCTGCGGGACCTTTTGCTGTTCAGTTTTTTTTTCTGCGAGACGGAGCTCTTCCACCAGGCTTTCAACTAGGGTGCTGCCACTATTCTGGAGCCCTGGCTCTTGGCTTTAACATCCAGCCTGAGCCGCAGGAAGATCTTGAGCAGAAGGATTTTTAAAGAGTACACTGAAATAAACCATCTTAACTATCTTCAGCACTTTATGAAACTGTATTAATAATTGTTTTATATGGTTTTATATGTGGTTTTAACTGCTCACTTTCTCCTGCCCAACCACGAACCTTGTTGCAGCCCGGCAAGCCCCTTTCCTCTGGAACTGGGGGAAAAGAAGCCCGTTAAAAGGCTGAATGGTGGGGGGTGAGAGGAGCTCAACTCTGCCATTTTTAAGGCCGAGGTTAGCTCCACCCCTCCACCCGAGGTTAGCTCCTTTTTCCTGGATTGGTGGTGGGCAGAACTGCCACACAGAGAGCGTGTGCAGTGGTTTTGTGTCAGACTTGGATCTGGGAGGCTCCAGTTCCGAATCCCCACTCGGGCTTGGAAGCTTGGTGGGTGACCTCGAGCCAGTCACAGCCACCTCACGGGGTTGTTGTGAGGATAAAAATGGGAGAGAGGAGACTGTTGTAAACTACGTTGGGCCCCCGCTGGGGAGAGAAGTGGGCTATAAATGAAGTGAGCAAGTAAATTGGAGGAAGAGTGGGGTAATGGCTGGACCAGCAGGTGTGACGCACCCCCCACCCCCCCGTGCTAGGCTGTGTGGACAGGCGGGTGGGGCCAGAAGCAGGCAGTTGGAGGGGGGGTCACTTGGAGCCAGTCCTCAATTGGTGGAGCCTGAGTGAAGCCAGGGCAGTAGGGGACAGTAGTGAAGGCGGGAGAAGGGGAGCAGCACTGCCCCAGTGGGAAAGCAGAGGCATCGGCATGACCCCCCCTTCAGGACAAGGGCTGTGCAGCTACAGAAGGGACCCCCTGTCTCAAAGAAGGCCTGGGCAGTCGGAGAAGCCCTGAGGGGGCCAGAAAAACCAGCCGTCCTGCTGGGCCTCTGGAGCAAAGGAACCCGGGAACACATCCGTGCCTTCTTTATTTAGGAACCTTCTATATATGCTGCCTCTCCAGTCTCCTGCTCCAGGTGGCCACAAGTGCAGCCTCCGTTGGGGACACACGATCAAACCGCGAAGGCTGATCGGTCCCGATGGTCTCCCGCGCCGCCGCCGATGCGGCAGTCGCGTCTCCCTCATCGCCTGAGGAAAACACCTCAGGAAGCTCTTTGCTGGTCATGACGACTTGAGAGGCCGCTTTTGCCAACGTCCTCTTCCTCAGCTTCGCCCCGAGGTCGGAGCAGAAAAAAGGAGTCAGAAAGATGAAAGGAAAAGGCAAGAGCAAGTAAGAAGGGCAAGGCAGGCTAGAAGGGGAAAGAAATTTGGCTAGAGGATTTTAAAGTTAGCTAGAACTAGCTAAGTTGTGCTGCTTCTCCCTATGAGGCAGGAATAGAACTGCAGTTGGGATATTCCAAAGGCACCAACGGGGGGGGGGAAATCTACGTCCTGCCTCCCTATTGGCACGGTGGGAATAACCCATGCAGATGTCCTCCGCCTCAGAGGGAGAACAATCCATTCTCAACTTGCACGTCTTGTATCTGTGGTGGATGGGCAAGGCAAAGACATCCCCTTTCCCCCAGGTGAGGGGCACAGTCAACAGCATCAGCACCATAGAAACAAACAAACAAAACACTAGCCCCCAACAGGTTTTCCCACCACACCCCAGGGGAACTTTGCTCCCTAGTCCCAGCATGCTTGCTGGGGATACCGCTGCCTCAGTCACGCAGATATGGCATCCGTCAGCACATGGCGATGGCCAAATGGCCTCTGGATACCACCCAATGTTATCAAACTCTATGTGAATTGGGCAGCTTTTCCATTGAAGTGCAATTTTTCATACATTATCAACTTATAGACTATTGGTTGGAAGAAGACGTCTGTCGAAACGGCACTGCATTCCGGAGGCTACCGCCCCGTCGTTGTCACCTTCTATCTTTATGTAACTGATTTTATAACTTGAATGTATTATTATTATTACTTTTGCACTTTCATATTTATAACTTCACGATTTTTTGTTAAAGAAATATTGAGCGCACTGTGCACAGTTCTTGTGGATTTATTTTTGCATGTTTATGGACCGTGACCATATTCATTAACTGTGGGGAGGAAAACAGGACTCCATGAGTGTTTTTAAAATGTTGTGTTTTTCATTCTTCCTAAAATGCATTTATGTTTGAAAATTGGTGGGTGCACGGGGAGGGGGGGGGGCGCCAGAAGGTAGCCTCACCTAGTGTGCAAAAAAACCTGGCACTGGCCCTGTGGGGAGGGGAAGGGAAAGGAGTTTGTAAGCCGCTCTGAGACCCCGAGTGAAGGGCGGGGTATAAATCCAATCTCCTCCTCCTCCTCCTCCTCTTCTTCTTCTTCATACTACAGAGATCAGTTCAAGAAAAAGTGGATGCTTTGGAGGAGGGACTCTATGGCATTATACCCCACTGAGGTCCTCATTGCCCCTCCCCCCCAGGTTCCACTCCCAATTTTTCAGGAGCTCCCCAACATGGAGCTGGTAGCCCCCCCCATCCCCTGCCATTGGCTAGAGGGGGACCTGGCAGCCCCGTCTCCCATCCAAGTACCGACCCTGCTGAGCTCCCAAGATCTGATGAAATCAGGCTATACTACATCATCCCACATCCCTACCTACCCAATACCACTAGTAAACTTACGATACCACGACTTTCCTGGTTTGCAGCTTATCCTCTTAGATACACTGCATTAAGCTCTTATAGGCTGAGTGCAGACTGGAAGTTTGAAGCGGGAGGGAGTCGTTGCAAAAAAGAGCCGGAACAAACTGTTCCGGGTTTTCCTGGTCACACTGCGCGGACTGATGCGGGAGCATACCGGGAGGAGATGTGAGGGAGCGTTCACACTGTTGGCCCGGAGGCGTGGCTGTAAGCGGTGTTTTCCTCACAGCAGATGCACATGGACGCCTAGGCGCCGTGGCAAATAGGGCAGGATCCAGCTGCTGTGGGCCATAGGCACATCCGGCCACATCACTACCCCCTCTTCAAGGCAATCACCTGCACCTTCCTGGTGCCAGAGTGAGGCTAGGAGGTCAGTCAGCATAAACAGCCGGCACACATTATTAACGCGGGCTGTTCCCGGCTTTTAGCGGTTAGCGTTCACACTTCCGGGAAGCAGAATGAAGCGGGATAAATGGGCTCTCCAGGGTTTGCTACCACTTTCACCAGGTATCTTTTAAACCCGGGAGCGAAGTGTTACAAGATGGGTTGAGTACGGGTGGGGAACGCCGGACAGATGTGCCTGTGTGAACAGCCCCTTTAATCCGCTTGTGAAACGTTCCTCACACGCGCCTATATCGGGGCAAACTGCCAGTCTGAACTCGGCCATAAAGGTGAAGATCTGAAGAAATAGAAATGAGAGGGAATGCCAGGGTTCCTCTATGCATCACATTTATGGGTACATGCAAAATATTTTACCTCTACCTTTAAGCAGGAATTTTTTTTTCTAATGTGTATGTACATGTGAAACATACAAATTCAAGTGCCAGGAAGCAGGATTGCCCACAAGTTGGCCCCCCACTGTGTGTAAGCTACCATTTGTCTGGTACTGCCTCTCTTTACTTTTAGTTAACAGGTAAAAACTTCCTTATTAACTTAGACCTTTGGTCGATCCTTAGATTGTGTTGTATTGCTTAGGCCTGTGTTGCATATTATAGTGTTATGATTTAACTTTGGCATTTAAAAATGATTATGGTTTCTAACAAGTTATCTTTGTTAGCTGCCTCACAAAGTTGGCTGACACAGGGTACAAATCTTTTTATATTAATATTAAATGCAATCAATCAATTTCTACAGTCCTTATACCAGTCATACAAAAAGAAGTACACCTTTACAATCTTCCAAGACTTTAAGATACATCAGTGACACATTAAAAGCAAATTAAAATTTAATCTAATACCAAACAGCTATATCTAACTAGCTACCTTGGCGTTTCCGTGATCTGAGTATCACCGTACAGAAACTGGCTACTTGGTGGGTAATTTTGGGGTTTCTATCAGATAGAAGAAACTCAAGTCTAGCTTTTTCGGAAAGACCTGGAATTTGTTCAGTCAGTGGAGTGATTTTATTATGCGCCACCTTATAATACGGACATCTAAAAAACATGCGCTCTGTGGTCTCAAGCCTCCCTTAATGGGCAGGTACAAAGCCTTTCTGAGAAAGGAGTATTCTTGTATTTTCCTTCAAGTACAGCAGATTAAAATTAAATTAAATTAAACACATTTGGACATATGCATTTGCTGCCACGTAACAGTTGGAATGGCTTTAGGTTGCTTATTATAACTCTTCCACGGTTTCTGGATAAAAATGTCAAATTCAGGGGGTACAGATGCTGCTTTTCTATGTTTTGGAGTAAGGGTTGGGTGAAGAGGGAAGTTCTGTTATCTGTCACTTAGCATTTCCTGATGGCACCTGGTATTTTTGGCCACTGTGTGACAGAGTGTTGGACTAGATGGGCCATTGGCCTGATCCAACATTGGCTTCTCTTATGTTCTTATGTGTGCCTTTAATTCATTAGCTAATCAAGGATGTTCCCAACATCTAAGGAGTATAAATAAAATCTAGCACACCTTATTTGCAATGAACAGCTCACAGCCTGCTCTTTTTATACCTAAATATCTCCTTGATTTTTATCAAGATGCTGTTTGGATAATTATTTTTCCAGATGATCTGTGTTTATTCAGTCTCTGCATCTAAGTGACCTTTATCAAAAAATAGCACAATTAGTATTGCCAGCTCTCAGGATTTTAATTGGTCGGCATGTAGTACAGAGCAATTATTGTATGCCAGTACTGCTTTACTATGGGCATCTGCCTACTTTGAGAAGTACTGGTTTCCATTTGCCATGAATGACAATAACTGCTGCTAGAGCATTTACTGCACTTCTGTTAACAATTCTGGCAATAGGAGTCCATGCCTGGTTCACTATAATACGGTTCATAAAACCAATGGTTACAGGCAGAAAAGACACTGCTGTTACAAAAACATATAGCAGCAGTATTTATGCAATGCATTTTATACCACACTCTCATTTAAACAAATTCTCAAGGCAGTTTCCAACACCTATATATCTAATGCTGAATCTGGCTTCAGAGTGTGAATTTTAAAAATCCACACAATAAGGCCAGGGACAGGAAGAGGAGATATTTGTGCAAACTGGTGGAGGAAGAACCCAGACAAATCTTAAATTGAAAAAGGAGGGATAAAATAAAAGTTTTAAATGTTGAGATCCTATTAGGGTTGCCAAGTCCATCTTCCACCCCCAGTGGGGGACTTTGGGGGTGTTCCTGGAGGGGGCGGGGCGTCCCCAATGTGATGACATCACGTTGGGGACGTCTGCCACCACCACCCCGCCCGTGTGCCGGATCTCCAGAAACAGCAGTTCCCTGCACTTAAAGGAGCCAGCGTTTCACTTTTAAATGCAGGAGCCGGCGTTTCCCCTTTAAGAGCAGCCACGTTTCCCTTTTAAGAGCACGAAGCTGGCATTTCCCTGCAAGCTTGCGACGATCGGGCTTTGGAGAAAATACGGGTTCCACACACTTAAAGGGAGAGAGATGGGTGGCTGTGGGTGTTGGGGGTGGGGCTTCCCCCGCTGGCCATCTGGCCGGCAGCAGGTAGAACCCCCCCCCAAATGGGGGACCCCTGGCAAACCAGGGGGGTTGGCAACCCTAGATCCTATTGAGATTATCTCATGAGATCTTGGCAGCCATTTTGGACTGTCTTGGCAACTGTGTGGTTGCCTATGTAATCCAAAATGGCTGCCACAGTTTTGTTTGAAACTGGAGGTTAGTAGCAAGGGAAAAAGGAGTGGGTACACAGGAAAGACAAGAAAGATTGGAAGGTGGAGACTGAAGCTACATTAGAGGGTGGGAATCTTTGTAGAGTTCTTGTAGAGTCAGTAACAATAAGTTCAATACAAACAACTTAAGCTAAAAACATGAAAGCAAGGCAAGCACAATTCCACAGATTCCACCTTATTTACTCAAAAGGAAGATGACCCTGTAAGATGACCCCTCCCCCAAATTTGTGCACACAAACATGTTTTTATTACTGGATCTCTCTGTAACTGGAACACAAATGTAAAGAGGCCACCTCCTTTTTGATGGCCTACCGGGTGGGTTGGGGACCTAGTTTTGCATTTAAGTAAACACAGTATAAATGTAAG